GCTCCCACGCCAGCCGCAGGAAGTGGAGCCTCTTTTGCTTCAGAGGCTGGCTGACCTTGAGCTTCTCGGTTGCAGCAGCCGTCTGCTGTGGCTGGAAGGCGACCCTGCTGGCCTATGCCCCGGACAAGACCTGACCTTTGGAGAGAATCCTAGAGAAAGGCCTGGGGACCAAGGTCTCCCTGAAATAGGAATGACAGACCTTGAGGGCAGATCACGCCATCCCAAGACGTCTAGTTGTATTTGCATGATCCAAATCACTTGTCTTTTTGTTTGTTCGTTTGAGAAGCGAGTAAATAGCTCTGTGCTCTTCTAACCGAACCTCTGCAGAGCTGGTGAGGCGCTTCCAGAGTGAGCACGCCGAGCAGTCGGGGTCCGGGCACCTTCTGCCACCTCCTGGGGGCGGGGGAGGTGGAGAGCAGAGTGTTCATTTCATGCAAGATGGCCAGGTCTCGTCACCCGGCCGCCCCCATTCCCGCATGCCACGTTAGTGGCTGCTTGGCCCCCAGTGAAACTGGAATTAGTGCCTGGGTGTCACCCCGCAGGAGGATGTGTCACGTTGGTTTTCACCCTGCGGGTCTTTCACATTCATTCATCGCCTTCCCATTCAGTTCTGTAATATCACCTCCTTGTACTGATTTGCATCATCCTCTGATCACATGGAAAATTCTCATTTCGTGGGTACCTACTGGGCGCTATGCTTTGGGGCCCTACAAATGTCATCTTCTTCAGTCTTCGACAGAGCCCTGGGGAGTGGGAGGTGATGTCCCTGTTTTGTGTGAGCACATGGAAACTCAGAGGGGTGGGGGCGCCGCTCCAAAGACACACAGCTATTAAGCAGAGCTTAATAGAGATTCAGGGATGTCTGACCATATGAGAAATATTTCCTTCTTTCTAGTAGACCACGCCTCTCTCCGGTGTCACCTGGGGAGGGGACATGTGCCAAGTTGAGGTGATGCCATCTGCTCACGTCACATCCGCTAGTCCAGCTCAACCAGGGCCTGCTCTGGGACACAGAGAGCTCCTTCTCGAAGGAGAGGGTTTCTCTCTCAGGGGGTGACATTTTTTGTTTGTTTGGGTTGCTGTTGGCTGTTTCTTTCCTTCCGTCCATCTCTCATCTTTTCCCCGACCCCACGTCTCTCTAGTTCAACAGGAAGAACACTCTCGATCTCGTGTTTCCTTTGAGGACCTGTCTTTCTGACCTGTAGCCATAGGTCAGAGACCAGGGACATGGACAGTGTGTCAGTTTGGTGGGGGTGGAGGGGGGACTTAGAGCCCAGTGGCCGGAAGTTCACATCCTGGCTCTGCCTTCTGCTAACGGCGTCGACTGGGACAAGCTGCCTGACCTTTGCAAGCCTCAGTTTCCTCATCTATAGAATGGGCCTGCCCCACGTAGAGTTGTGATACAGGTAAAACATTGGCACGGCGCTCGGCCTGCGGGACGTGTGCACTGAGCCGCTGCATCGTTGGTGGTGGCGATCATTCTTTCGACCCGTTTATTGATCGCACTAAACAAGATGAGCAAGGTCCCCGGTGTCATGGGCCTTGTGCTCAGGCGGGAGAGATACGCAGGGCAGAAACAACTAACGAGAAAGTTTCCGGTGGTTATGAAGCAACTGTTCCAGAGGTGAAAGTTTCTCGTGCAATTCCTCGGAAGAAAGACCCCCCGATTTGTAGCATTTGCCGATTCTGTGGTGTAAATGACCCCACCTGTGGCTGATTTCAAGCTACTGAAGAGACGTTGCCTGGCCTTTAAAATACTTAAAAAGTTAACATTTGGTTCTTGCAATGCTGAAAGAGGCGGCTCCGGCACTGGGTGCATGTAAATAACCTGGTTCGGGACAGATCTGAGCTCCACGTGCTCGGGAAACAGAAGGATGGCTGGCATCGGTAGGGGCCTCGTGGAGTGGAGACAGAAGAAGGTGGAGGCTGGGCTGTTGGAAGCCTCATCGACCATGGCACCAAGTTTCAGTTTTATTCTAAGGCTACAGGAAGTCTTTGGTGGGTTGTAAGCAAGGAAGCGTCTGAGTCCGATTTACATTTTTAAAACATCATTGGGCTGTCTGTGAAAGGCCAGCAAGAGACCGCCAGTTGGAGGACAGAGGTGGTCACTGCAGGGCAAGGCAGTGGTGGCTTGGATTAGGTGTGCCAGCAAGGGAGGGGCAGAAGTAGCTGGACTGAGGCAGAGCAATGGGGACGTGACAGATTCTACCTGCAGGTGTCCCTTGCGTGTTTACCGTGAATGCACTCAGCCTGCAATTTCTGCTCGTTTATCATCGGGACGGGGAGGGAACCTCTGACCATCGGGGGACACTATCCTATCTACTTTTCTTCTCCGTACTGTGTGATGGTCCCGTGTTTACCACTCCTGATAAATCCAGGAGGCGAGATGAGGAAATATATTTATCTCGGGTCTAAATGCAAGGCAAAAACAACAAAAACAAAATCTTTTCTCCACACCGGCCTTCCTCCTTTGATTTTTGTCACCGAGAACAGTCCCGTGTTCTTCAGTTTGCACGGGGGAGAAAGATAAGAGGCTCCGACTTGATTTCCATCTTCGCCCGAGGCCGCGTCTTGGGCGTATATTAGACACGTATGTAAATGTCGTGGGTGTCAGTCTGGCAGATTATGAAAAAGGTTGTCATCTGGCACTGCTCAACTCCCAGCCGGCCTCTTTGTGTAGTTTTTGGAAGGGTACGAGAGAACTCCATCGTTTTAGACCGGCGTTGTCCAATAGAACTTTTCTCGATGACGGAAACGTTCTGTGTCTGTCGTTCCATTGCGGTGGCCCCTCACTGTCTGCGGCTGGTGAGCGATCGAAAAGTGGCTAGTGCAACCGAGAAACTGCATCTTCAATTTTGTTTGCTTTTTGTATCATTTACTGTATCGGACAGCACAGTTCTGGACCATGTGTCATCATCCATGGTCCTGGCACCTATGTTTTTTGGCAGTTAACTGACAATCCCACTGTAGTGCTGTGGAACATTGGGGAAGGATGGGATCTGAGTTGTCACTTGTCATAGCCCCCCCTCAATTTGCAGAGAACAGGACAGAGGCAAAGAAGGATTAAATGATTTGTCCAGCATTTCTCATTTCTCAGCTGGGGAATGACAAGACAAGAACCCAGCTTCTAATGCTCTGTTCAGTACGCTTCTTTCTTTCGTTATATATTTGTCAAAACCGATGTGAAACTTCACAAATTTCCAGAAATACATTCTTCCTAACCTTGTGAGTAAATTTAAAGTCCTCTGATCACCTTCTCTCTCTTGATCTCTTTCTCCCCTAGAAGTGATCATGGTGTGGTCGCTTTGGAGCGCATCCTTCTACGCCTTTTCCTATTGCGTTTATGTGTGTCCAAATGGACGCAGTGAACACATTCGGCCTTTTAAAAAATGCATTGTTATCACAATATCCATATTTTTCTACAAATTACTTTTCTCTTCCAACGGTATGTCTTAGATCTTTCTGGATCAGTTCAGAGAGCTCTCCTTTTTAAAAAATTGCTGCCGTCTTTCCTAGTCGGGACGTGTCATACTGCTCGGAAGCCTATTGATATAAGTAATTGTTTAATATTCTATCTGTTTTAGTAAGCAAGTTGGTATATGTCTCCTGCATGCACAATATTTCTTTGAGGGTATATTCTGAGAAATGGAATTACTGAGTCATAGGAAATACGTATTTTTAATTTTAATAGCTGTTACTCCAATGCTCTTTAAAATAGTTATACCAGTTTATGTTCCTATCAGCTGCCTGACAGTGCCGGTGTCCCTAGAGTCTGCAAAGACACTTGATATTATCAAATATCTACATGTGTGCCAATCTAACAGGTGAAAAATGGCATCTCATGGTTGTCTAATTCACATTTTCCCGTTTACAAGTCGGTTCGAATATCTCTTCTATGCTAATGGCTATTTGTTTTTCTGTGCATTGCTTGTTCAAATCTCTTGCTCATTTCTTCCGTTAGATAGTTTTAATCAACGAGTATGTGCCAGACTGTCTACCACACGCCCAAAATTATTCTAGGTGCTAGGGATTATGTGGCAAGTTAAATGAACAGAGATCCCAGCCCTCAAAGAGATGATAATCTAGGTGTGGGGGAAAGACCAACAGAAGGAAAAGGAGATAGAGGACTCAATTTTAAGTAGGATGGCCAGAGAATCTGGTCTTTACTTATTCACTTATAATTCTTTATATATTCTGAATACTGATCATTCGCCTGTTACATCTTTTCCAGTTTTTAATTTTCATTTAGATGGTGGTAGTTTTACCTTGCTCATTCTTTTTCAGAATTATAAAATCAAACTTGTTCATTAGAACACAGTCATGTAAAAAGTAAAAGTTCTTTTTCTGATCTCCCCAGGCAATCACTGTTAAGAGCTCTGATTTGTCTCTTCTGATTATTTTCTATCCTCACTACCATGCAACACTCCCCACCAGCCCCCTGACTGCCAGTTAAGCACAGTTTCTGTCTGTTTCTCCATAAACGCAATTCTGATCTACCACATTCTTTGCTATGGCTGCTTAATATTCCATTTTAGAGAAGGTCTAAAGCAAAGCAGTCCCCTCCAGCTGGACACCAGGGTTGCTTCCAGTTTCCCATCCCTCCAGCTGATACCACAATTCTGTGCTCTTTCTGCTGCCCAGGAGTTTCTCTGATCTTTTCGTTCGCCGGACCACAGCCACCATGCCCTGCATGCCAGTGGTGCTGTAATAATCTGACTTTGTTTTCTCCCTGCCGCCAGCTTCACGGCTACATGGAAAACAAGCCGCTCGGACTTCAGATCTTCATCGGGACGGCCGACGAGCGGATCCTGAAACCCCACGCCTTCTACCAGGTGCACCGGATCACGGGGAAAACTGTCACCACCACCAGCTACGAGAAGATCGTGGGCAACACCAAAGTCCTGGAGATACCGCTGGAGCCGAAAAACAATATGAGGGCGACGTAAGGGCTGGGGCTGAGGGCGCTGGGTCTCTAAGGGGCCGCGTGGCAGGGGCTTGGGCGAGGGGACCCGTGGAGTTGATGGGAGCAGTAACGTGTGGTGGTTCCTAACCTGTGATGGACCCAGAGGGGTGTCTGTTTTGAAAATTTCTATTTTAAAAGTTCTATACCTATATATTTTTCTATTGTGCAAGTTTGGGTTATATTGCTAGGGATGAGACTAAATTTATTTACGTTTAAAAAGTTTATTTGACCTAAATAGAATTATTAAAGAACGATGCAGATAGGTCAAAACTCACAAAGTAATTTGCATATGACTAAAATTTGGGAATCATTGTACCCATGCGTCGGAGTTTAAAAAAAAAACAAAAACGTTTTATCAGAAAATAATCTCATGCTTATAGAAAACCTGCAAGAATCTTACAAAGAACTGCATACTGTTCATTCAGATTTGCCGATTGTTAACATTTTTCACATTTGCCTTATCACTCTGTTTCTCACCCTCCCTCTGTTTTTTTCTGGAACCGTTTGGGCGTTAGTTGCAGACATCATGCCTTTTGACGTTTAAATACCTCTGCGAGCATCTCCTAAGAACAAGAAGGCATTCTTACATGACCACAGAGCATTTATCAAATTCAAGATGCTTGATGGTGATACACTTCTCTTATCTATTGACTAGCTCAGAAGCAACTTTCACCTGTTGCGTATTTTTTTTTTTTCAGATACTTTTGAGAGTAGAAGAGTTGGCATGAAAAATATCTCCCTAGAGAAATAATTTCCACCGGGCAATTTCTCCACCTTGTGTGTTACCCCTCTCTTGGTATAAATTCTTGGCTGAAATACTTCTCAGTCTAGTACAGTTTTTTCCCTGTGTCTGGCTATGGAGTTATTTTGCTTAACTAACGAAAGCATTTTTGCGGGTGATCTTTCCTGCTCACTGAGACGCTTGGCTCTAAATGGGGTTTTCAACCTTCTGGCAGCATCGACTGTGCGGGGATCCTGAAGCTCAGAAATGCTGACATCGAGCTGCGGAAAGGAGAGACCGACATCGGCAGGAAGAACACACGGGTGAGGCTGGTTTTCCGGGTGCACATTCCGGAGCCCAGCGGAAGGATCGTCTCCTTGCAGACTGCGTCGAACCCCATTGAGTGCTGTAAGTGGAGCCCCGGGCCGGGTGGGATTCTGGAAGGCAGACTGTGCTGACCTCCCATCTTGGGCAGGGCACCCAGGAAGAATACTCACGACCCCCAAGGCCGACAGTTGGGCCCCAGACAACCGACGAGGCCAGAGCCAAAGCGCATTTAAGGGTTTCCCTTTGGTTCTATTTACTTGTAGAGGGTTTTGTGGCCTCACAGGAAATTAAAAAATAATATGGCTAATGAGTAGCCTACAGCTTTGTTTAGAAGATTGGCAATGTATAAATGTCGTTCTAGCTTTAAAAAGGGTAGATGCAGTTGGAGTGAGTTCGCTGTACATCGTTTCCTCTTTTTCTTACCCTCCCCCTTTCCTTTCAATAAGAATAACAATAATATTACAGTGGCTCTTGCTTTCTGTAAAGCTGTGTCTCTGCCGGTCCCTGTGCTTTTAGCACTCAGCATGCGACAGCTCGTTGAATGTTCACAGCAGTCCTTGGGTGAACGATGCTGGTTTTACAGAAGAGGAGGGGGAGAGAAGAGAGGTTGAGTAACACGACCAAAAAATGGCAGGGATGGGATGTGAATAGGAGCTATGCTTCCCCCAGCACCCACAGCCCATCCCTGCACGTTTACTGAGCATCTCCTCGGTGTCTGGTGCTGTGCCGGACACCTGCAGATGAGCAAAGCGTTTTCTCTGTCCTCTGACATTCGAGGAGAAAGACCCAACAGCAGGCCACTGAGGGAAGACAAGTATTGAAAAACAGCGCCTTAGAGTCTGGCGGAAACAGAGATACGCAAACAAATAGGCAGAAGGTTTTCAGAATCCAGTACGTGGTGGCCAAGATCTGCCATTTGGTTCATTTCTCCCAGGCTTCAAAAGAAGCAGCTGCTTTGAGCTCATTCTTAGGTACTTCTCTCAAGTTATGTTGTTGGTTTTGCAATCAGATGGGACAAAGCTTATTGTCTGCTCAGTTTTTGAGAGTTCAGAAATCATTTTTGAAAGCGTAAAGAAGAAAGTAAGCATTGTTCCAGAAATACAAGCTGTTTATGTTATTTTCTTAGTCTCTTTCTTCTAAGCATGTTTTTTTATGTTGTTACAATCACGTTCTATATTCAATTATGTTTCAGAATTGTTTTTCCCTTTTACCAGACATTTGGCCATAACTAGGTATCACAAAATCAGTTGCCTACAGAGGCTGGGGAGGTTGTGAAAATGAATGAAGCAGGCTGGGCGCGTAGCAGTGGGGAGCGGTGGAGAGAAGGGACCAGGGTGACACATTCCCCATCTAACTGGGCCCTTGCGACTCAATTCCAGCCAGTATTTCTATGTGGGAATGGAGACTCAGTGCGGCCACATTTTCTGACTTTTTAAGATAGAGTCTCCTGATTAATAAAAAGCAGCAACAAATTCAAAATACTCTGTGGATCAGATAAAATTTGCGCATGGTTTTGATTAATCAGAGGTAGTCTTAATCAGACACTAATGAGTAAAGGCAAAGCATGAATATTTTATGTAGAAAGGCTTGAGAAAGACTGGCCCTCGGGATTGGAAGCCAACAGGGAGAGAGGGTGCATGCACCCTCTTTGGGAGAGAAGCTGGAACTTGCTCCTCGTTGGTATTTGGAAAAAGACGAAGGAGCTTCTGATTCCTTCCAGCCTTGTGGGTCGAAATGTGAATCAGGCTGAATGTGGTGTTCGTGCTCTGAAGTTGGAAGAGGAAGACCCATCGTCAGGCCACAAGGGAAGACACATGTTGAAAAACAGCATCTCAGAAACATTGGAATTCCCCTTCTCTACCCAATAGACCCCACCCCCGACCCCCAAATGCTAGTCACGGTGGCTGCCCCACCTGGGGCTTGGTTTTGAGACCTCAGGATGTTTTGGGAGGGAAACTAGGGCTCTTCCTCTGTGATTTGGGGGGGTTTGTGAGAAGATAAGGTCTCTCCTTTCTGGCAAGTGATTCACTCTCCAGGATGAGGCTGTGGTTTGTAGCAAGGTAGGGGATAAGAGGCCTTCGGAGGGACCATGTGCAGGAGCCCTCGTTCCCTGTCATCTTCAGGCCCCTCGAGTCAACTTATCTCATGTCAATCTGAGACTTTAAGAATCATCACTGAACAGCATGCACCTCCAGCGGGATCTCCTGGGTGTTATAAAGTTGTTCGAACCTTGAACATACTTTTTTTTTTCTTTCTTTTTCTTTTTCTTTTTTCTTTTTTTTAAGAAAGCATTTGGCTGATTCAACTGCCTTGTTTTGAGAGATAAGGAAACCGAGACTTTCTTGGTAAAGTGATTCACTCATTTTTACTCGGTAGGTTGCAGAGCCACTCTCCAGCTTTCTAGTTCTGTGAAATACCTACTTCTTTTGGTTTCTGTAACACCACTATTTCTTGCAATACCAAATAGAGCTATCAGTTGGCTGCTCTCCCCCTTACCCAGAATCTTCTGTCATTTTTATTTCCTTCTTTGTTCTAATTTCCTAGACCAGTGCCTGGTAGTTCCATAAATATTTATTGACTGATTGGTTTACTGTATGATCCTTAGGGAGCTATTCAATAAATATATATCGACCATTGCTCTATAGCATGTATTGACACAATATGCGTACAAAATATTTATTGACTAATTGACTTAGTATATAGCCCTCAGGGAGGATGAGTCGGTAACACTCGGTGGGCTGGTACTTATTTGCAAGGCTGACTTATTTACTTTGGAAGTGCCTTCTATGTAAGTCTCAGGGATCAAGGGTAAGTTCTCCGATTCCAGTAGAAAAAGCTGGAGCAAACTACTGGGGGTCACTCTCTAGAAGGTAGACTTATTCACTGGGAACACAGATGCTTTATGTGCATTGACGGGCCAGCGTGCCGGAAGTCAGACCTCCCCTTTGCACTGCCAGGCCCCTCCTATGGCTCTAGTATTCTGTCCACTAGATCTTCAGTCTTGCCAAAGAGATACTCTTAGTCCTCTCCCTTAATCTCAGCAGAGACTACTTGGAACCTTCTCCGATCTTCCAAGCTCTAGATGCCGCCCCACCCGCCTCCCACTCCAGGCAGATAACCTTGCCTCTCACTTCCCTGAGAACATGGGAGAGGTCAGAAGGGCACACCCTCGTCTTCAGCAACAAGCCTATCCATGGATCGCAGCTGCAGGCCTGTCCTCATCCGGTCCCCTTGCAAAGGGACAGTCCTCCGTGCCCCCCGGGCTCCTCTGTGCTCTCAGCTTCAAGTCCACCTTCCCTGCGGTGGTCGAGACCTCGCCTCGCTCTTGTGTGCGTTTCCCGGGGCTGGCGTAGCCCATTGCTACCCGCCGGGAGGTTCAAAACGACAGAAATTTGTTCTCTCACAGACCTGGAGGCCAGAAGTATGGAGTCAACGTGTTGGCAGGGTTGGTTCTTTCCAGAGGCTCCTGGGGGAATTTGTTCCAGGCCAGTCTCCTGATCTCTGGCGGTCCAGCAATCC